CCTTTCATTGGTCTCCGCTCCCTGGCAGCCTGGCCTGGTGCCCACATCCACCCAGGCCCTGAGGCAGGGGCTCTGCTCACCCAGCCCAGCTTTCTCCCATCTCTCAGCTCCCTTTTCTTTGTCCCTGCCACTCCCTCAGTCCCTCTCCCCTGCTGAGCCCCCACTCTGGACTACACACTGTGTTTACAAGACAACCAGGACAGTTTTTGATTTCTCTTTGTCTCCCTTCCTCCCCTGAAGGGAAATATGCTTCTCTCCAAAGAAATACAAAGCTCCAGAAGAGGGAAGCGCGCGCAGGACAGTGAGCCTGGGTGCCCCAGCAGCACCGCCACACAGCCTTTCTGTCAGGGCCCCCAAGAACAGCTCTATTATTTGCAGGGTGATGAAATGCTGATCTTTATTCTAGAGGATAAACAGGGCCGAGGGACACGGGAGCAAGAGGGAGGGTGAAGGAGAAGAAAATGAAAGCCAGAGGGAGGCAGAGAGACTTGGAGGGAGAGGAGCCAGATGGCAGACCATGGACACAGAGGGAGGAGAGAGGAGAAGCCGGAAGGAAGAGGGCTCTGCCTCCGGTGAGCGTGGAGACGCAGCTGCTAACCCCCACCAGGAATCCAGGGACCTGTGCCCTCCAGCCAGCTTCCCGCCCCCGCCCCGGCCAAGGACAGGAACTGGAGGGCCGGCTGGCAGGAGCTCCGGGGTGGGCATCTCTGAGAGCTGGGGGAAGGAGAGGACACCAGCTTATCCTAGTGGGCAGGCCTCACAGCCAAGTGCACCCCATCCAGAGGCAGGACCCCAGACTGCAGGGCTGGGAGGTAGCCAGGGGCTCCTCTTGTTAGGTCCTTACTCCTTAAAAATGACCTAAGAGACAGTTTTTGTTCCAAAGGCTTTGTTGAGCCAAGCCTGGTGTCCGTATCACTCAAACGTGAAAGTTGTTTTTTTTTTTAAGATTTTTATTGGGGAATTGGGGGGATGGGAACAGCGCTGGGGAATTGGGGGAAGGGGAACAGACAATTTGCTGTCCTTTAGTCTAGTTGTGGAGGACGTTGCTTCACTGGCCCAAAAGTTGGCACCATCATTGCACTCTTCCCGGGTGAGGCAGATCAGTCACCGGCTTCTGGACGGCCGCTCACTGCGGCTGCTGGCTGCTCACTCTGGCTGCTGGCTACACACGGTAGCCCATGGCAACCCACTGCCACACGGGCTGCAGCCTAGCCGCCGCCGCCGCCGCCGCCGCCGCCGGTGACTCATGGCAGCCTAGCTCCAGGTTGAGCTGTTGTTCAGCCTCCAGGTTGAGCTGTTGTTCAGCCTCCAGGTTGAGCTGTTGTTCAGCATCTTAGCTGTGAGGGCAGCGTCACTGGCCCTCATATGTGGGATCCGAACCAGGGCCCTCTGGCGTCCCAAGCCAGTTCTTAACCATCACACCACTCGGCCGGCCCTCAAACGTGGAAGTTTTATAGGGGCTTGATTTCCGGGAGTTTGAGCAGAAGCAGGTGTACAGAAGCAAAAAAGTAGTTAGTTCTTGCAAAACGTCCTGAGCCAGGTGTGAAAATGAGTTATCTGTAAAATAATCTATTGTTGTAACCTAATTCTTGGAAAAATGAGCTTCTGCTCTCAGTTATAACCGCATCCTGGTACCTTAACAGGATGTTCTGCTATGTTCAGCTGGAGTATGACTTTTTCTTATTTCTCAGGGCCGGGGTATTTTCTAAACTGGGATTGCTTCGTCTGGGGTCTGGGCCTGGGTCCTCATACTCTGACCTCAGGGCTGGGAATGTCACCCCAACTGCTTCCTGAGCAGAGATCCTCCCGACTTCCCCTGCACTGGTGGGAAGAGAAGGGGGCATTCTCATTTCTCTACTTTCTCCTCCAGGGCCCTGGGTGGTGTGAGGGCGCCTGGGTGAACATGGGCATGTACATGAGATAAGGGCATGCCTGGGGAGGGAGGGGTGTGCATGTGTGGTAGTAACAGGTGTGTACAGTGTGTGCTGTGGTGTCTGTGCTGAGCGGTGTGTGTGCTGCATCTGTCTCTCCCTGTGAGTGGAGTTTAAGGCTCACATTTGGGTGTGTCTGGTAGTGGGGAGTCTGAGTGCAGGGGAAGACATGGTGCCTGTGCTTGCGCACGTGTGTATACACACACACGAGCATGTGCTGTAGGAGTGTCTGTCTTGTCCCCGTGTACATGTGGGTAAGGGACATGGGTTTCTGCACAGCCCCTACCCATGTGCCTGTCTGTGGTGCATCAGTGTGTCCCTGCCCACAGGTCTCCACTTCTCCTCCTGGCCTACAGCCACAACGCTCCTGGGAGCCAGGGTGACAACTGGCCCTCAGGGTCTCTCCAGCAACAGCAGAATGACAAAGACCAGCCCCCCAGCCAGCATCCAGGAGGGCCCTGGTGAGGGTGACTCATGGATCTCCCTGGAAAAAAGGGGGGCAGCTCTGGTGGGCACCCTACCATACCCACATCCACCTGTAAATGTCTGCTCAGGGTTAGAGGGAGCTGCTCCTCATCCTCCCAGCAAGCCAGCCTCTGAACTCCTGCAGGGCATGGCTGGGACTTTACCATGTTTTGGTTCACCCAGACACAGCCAGAGCCTGACATAGAGCAGCTCAGCAAATGTTTGCTAAATGAATGAATGATCTTGCCTGTGTAATCATGTGCCAGGCTCCAGGCCTAAGTACCTGAGGGCACAGGTTTAAGTCCTACAAGACCAGGGCTTCCTGCTAGGCCAAGCTTGGTCCCCTAAGTTGCTCAAAAGAGGCAGGGGCAGCACTAAGTCAGGCCTGGGAAGCAATGCCCACCGGCCTTCTGCAGGTCACCTACCCAGCCACCACCACAGGGACGCAAGCCCAAGAGGTGGGAACTGCTTTGTCAAAAGGTTGACCCCAAGCTAAATGACCCCCTGTCATTTTGTGGGCTGAGGCGTAAGGCAAGCCCCATTCATCTTCCCTGGAGGCCACATCCCCTTCTTGGCGGAACCATCTTTCTTCCAAACATCTTCATCCCCTGAAGATGCATTCTGAACCCTCCAGCCTCCTCTCCTTCCCTTAGGATCACGAACACACTCCAAGGGATAGTTCAAACTCTAAGACGAACTGCCGGTCCCTACCAGGTCGGGTGGCAGCTGAGGTCAGGTTGAGGTCTGTCCAAGACTGAACCATGAAAGCAAAAACTAGAATTTAGTCTTAATATGAGTCAAGGGTCTCATCCCCAGATTGAACCCTGACCCTAGTCACACTGAGCCCTATTCCTGCTCACACTGAGCCCTGTCCCTGCTCACACTGAGCCCCGACCCTGCTCACAAGCTGAGCCCCCACCCTGCTCACACTGAGCCCCGACCCTGCTCACACTGAGCCCCGACCCTGGTCACACACTGAGCCCCAACCCTGCTCACACACTGAGCCCCAATCCTGCTCACACGCTGAGCCTCCACCCTGTTCACATGCTGAGCCCCAACCCTGATCACAAGCTGAGCCCCGACCCTGCTCACAAGCCGAGCCCCAACCCTGCTCACACACTGAGCCCTGACCTTGGTCACGCACTGAACCTGGACCTTTATTTAGAGACAGGGCATCAATTTGTCATATGGCCAAAGTTACTTCCCTGGCTCTGGGCCTGGTTCCTCCTTTTTCCACTGGAGGGCCTTTAGAGGGGCTGAGCACTAACTCAGAACACCCCTATCCAGAGGTTGCCCTGCAGCTCTTCTGACCTGGTGACACAGTACAGCATTAGCGGCTGCCACCTGCCAGCTCCCACCCCTACGCAACACTTTCAGCTCAAGCATCACTAATTTTTGCAGCCTCTGTGATAAATGGCATTGTCAGCAAAATGACATCTTTCTAATCTGCTGCAAGACAGATGGGTCACCAGCTCACTCACTCCCTCTTGAGCCTCCCCAGCCCAGCCTTACTGGAGAGAGTGGAAGACAGGACGTAATACCCCAGACATGGGGGCAGATGGGAAGGGACTTGGGGCCCAGAGTCAGGTATGACCCCAGTGGAGTTTTCTACAAGCCCCTTTTAAAAATATGCAGTTGTATGGTTTTTAAAAACTATTCCAAAGATATTCTCTTCCGCTTTCTGGCCAAAGTTAGTTCTTCAATTCAATTTTCATTTTCAATTAAAACCTGAATATCTCTCCGATTCGAAAGGATGAGCCAGCAGACACATCAGAAAGGTTCTGGGTGGCCCTTTCTTCCTGCCTCCCTCAGCTCTGAGGGCAGTGGTGCAGAGCGTGCGTCTGCCTGAGCCCTGGGGTCTGGAGGACACCCGCCTCCTCTCCTCCTCCCCAAGCTCCTTGCTCTCCATAGTCCTGCCCTCCCTCCCACCATGGGCCCCAGGCTGAGAGCAGGGGGAGACGGTCTCCTCACACCGCCTGTGGCCAGAGGAGCTGGGAGAGGGGCTGGTCCAATGGGTGGAGGCAAGTAGAAATGGGGGATCCGGATACCAAGATTTAAGAAGGACAAATACCAGCCCCAGAGACCCCAGCCTCCACAGAGACTGGCACGAACGCTGGAACCTGTGTGCCCAAAAGCAGCCAAGTCGGAAGGAGTGGGCGTGTGGGCAAGGCCTGGACTCAGGAGTGAGGCAACACTGCCCCCTCCCGGCTAGTGTGTGGCTCCTCTTCTAACGGGTACTGCAGGGCTAGGCTGTGGAGGCTGGGGACATGCAAGTGACTCTCCAAGGACAGCATGTGACAAGCAGACCCTTCCCCTACAGCCTGCTTGGCCCCTTCACCTCCTCCCTAGGCTGACTGTAGTCTCCAGGCTCTGCCCATGCTGCCAAACTTCTCTCTATGCACAAAGAATTCTGAAAATACTGCATCTTGTCTAGCCCCATGGCACTGAGTACAAAGCCTGAGTCTACTCCAAGCTGCCCACCATCTGGGCCCATGACCAGCCAGCCTCCTGCAGCCCAGGCTCCTGCCCTCTGAGCCTCCCAGTTCCCTTCTCTGTGCCCTCTGGTCCCACCTGTCTGCCTTTGCCCCTACCTTTACCTCCATCAGGAATACCCTCCCTTTTACACGCTGTCTCTGCTTGTCCTCCTGGGTCCCTCCCCCAGGAAATCGTCCCTCTCCCCATCCCCAGCCAGAATGACCCTTGCCTCCTCTGCCTGCACCCACTCATCCTGCTCCTCTCTTGGGTCCTGAACACTGTCAGAGCTCAGAGGCACACAGTTTTGGAGCTGGAGGGAACTTGGACATCCTCCAGGCCTCCCCCCAGGGCTGCTCTGGGCAGAAGCTGCACAAGACCACACAGCACATTCATGGTAGAGTTAGGACTAGAGCTCGGCTCTCTGGAGTCTGCCCAGGGCTCTTTGGAGGGCATGTGGCCGCCTCCCCTGGTGAGCCAGAACAGAACTTCTCCCAGACAAGGTCTCCCAGGACCCCCACCCCTCACCCAGGCAGGGCCCAAAGGAAGCAGTTATGAATGTTTGCAAATGAATAAATAAATAAAAATATTTATCTAATGCCTCATGTGTGCTGGACACAGCAGGTACCAGCTCTGCCACTCTAAACTATGGCAAGCTTCTCGATTAGGTATAGAAAATAATCCTCTGGGGAGGGCGGGGCTGGGCAAGTACACCAGGAGGGGACTCAGTCGCGAACATAGATGACCAGCGGGCACAGGTGGGGAGAGTGTTTGACGCCCATGGTGAAAGCCGGTGCGCGGGGCTTGTGCACCGTGACCTGCCGGATGTCGTGGGCGCCCGGGCCCAGCTGAGGGGTGTGGTCCATCGGGTAGGCAAAGCGCTTGGCCATGCTGTGGATGGGGCTGCGCTTCTGGTAGATGGATGGCTCCGGCGGCGTATGCATGGCTGGCCCAGGGCCTCCTGCCACACTGTCCTGGTAGAACCAGTTCTTGTCTGCAGATGCCAAACTATAGCAAGGAGCAGCTCGGTTGACGGGGATGTTAGGTCCCAGCAAGAGTGGCAGCTGGTACTGGTTGGGGGCCGGGTTGGGGTCCATCACTCTGTACGGGCAGCGGTAGCCAAAAGTGTACTGAGGAGCCCTACGTTCCCCAGGGGTGCGGGTCTTCTCCAAGTAGTAATGGCAGGAGGATGGAGTGGAGCTCAGGCCTGAAAGTGGTGAAGGTGTTGGGCTGAGGCCTTGGTTAGACTGACAGGACGTCACTAGAGCCACCTTAGCTTCCAGCAGGGACACATCCACCCCTGCACAGGGCTATGGGTGAGGGAGGGACTTAGGCCACTCTGACATCAGGATATGACAGTATTGCCACAATATAAAAACCACAAGTGTCATCAGAACACCACCATTGGGCTGTCAGTATTCTCACATTGTCTTTGTGACAGCACCAAAAAAGCATCCTCAAATCATCACAGCCCAAGAGCCCATTAGCATGACATCACTGCTGTGACATGAGCCCCATTTTTATCACACCACCCCCCAACATATATGTAACATTGGCTTTAAGACATTAAGTACTGTGACACAGACATGATGACATTGGTGTCTTGATGTGACAGTGCAGTGGCCTAGGATGCCAGCATCCACAGATACACCTGGTATAGGGAGTCATGACCCTTTGCCCTTACTTAGGTCCTAAGGTTGTATCCCTATCCCCCAACCCCCCAACCTGCACCCCCTCCCCATCCCATCTTACGCAGGTTAGAGATGCGTTCCTCCATGGGGACCTGAGGGCAGCTGGACATTCCAAGTCGAGTTATTTTAGGATCCAACAAATAGCAAGGTCCAGGATTGCTGTCCATGACCCCTGCAGGGTAACCCAGGAGAGGCTCCGTCAGCCCCAGAGGCTGCCCAGGGTGAGCCTGGCCTGTCTCCAGGCGAGATCCTTCTCCCCAAGACAGTAGCCAAGAGAGCCCTTCCGATTCCTAGGGTTCTTGGGTGCTGTGGGAACTTGGATTTCCTCTTCTGTAAAGGGGCTTTTAACATTCTCAAGAACTTGTTCAGAGGGACAGATAAAATGACAACAGCTGCACAGCAGCTAGCTCGGCTGGTTAGGGATCAATGCCAAGGGGTAATAATAGGCACAGTGGCTACTGTTGGTATTAAGAAGGGGCCCAGTAAAAAAGAAAAAAAGAAGGGGCCCAGTGCCAGCCAGGGGTTCCCCTGCTGAGGAGGGTGTGTCGCCCCAGGCAGGGGTCTGGCAGGCCCCCTAGACCTTAACATCCCATCCAGCTCTCTTCTTTCTGACATTGGCCAGCAGCCCTAGCTCTTCTGCTCCCACCCTTCTAGGGGGTTCTAAGACACCTGGGGAGCCTTGGGGGCCACCACCCCACCACTCTCCCTCCGATCCCCAGATATTCCTGCCCAGCTGCTGTGGCAAGTGAACCGATGACAGCCAGAGATGAAGGGCCCCAGCCAAAGACCAGGCATAAAGGGGACTCTGCTGTGCCAACTGGACAGTGACAGCATCCCTTCAAAGCTCCCTCAGGAGGTCGAGTTGGGAGAGGCCCACAGTCGCCTTCAGAAGGATGGGTCATTTAGGCATCCCTGCTGGCTTCCTTCTGGACCCAGCGGGCCACCTGGGTGTCCCACTCAGAGCAGGCCTGGGTTCCCAGGGGCCCGTGGCTATAGATAACGGCTCTTTTCTTCTCACTGCCACCCCAAGCATCCAACAATAATAACCCTACACCCAGGGGACAGGTGTTGGGGACACTCACGCTTCTCTGAGTGTCGAGTGTGCAGAGTGCAGGCGGGCTCCTGGAACATGGAGCTGTCGTGGCCTAGGTAGCCCGTGCAGGATGGCCGCAGGTACTTGGCAGGCCCCGGACCTGTGAGGATGGACAGGGCAGCACTCAGCCTGGGCCCACCATGGCAAAGGCGGGAGGTCCCAAGTACTGGGGTCTTTGTTCCCACTGATGTCATACAAATCCCACCATCAAACTGCTTCTCTGGGTAAAAGGCAGTGTTCCCAGATAAAATGCAATTTCTCTTGGACAGGCGATGCATAATAAGAAAGGTAATAGTTACAATGAACTGAAAACTTCTGGCCAAGTACTATGCTAAGCATTTCATATGGGTTATTTCAGTTAAGCCTCCCAGCAACTCTGTAAGATAGAGACTATCATTGTTCCCATTTTACAGATGAGAAAATTGAGGCTTAGAAATATCAATTTGCCCAAAGTCACACAAATTGGTAATGTGAAAATTCTGAGACAATTAACCAACAGAGGCCAAACATTTAATCACATAGTAAACCACCTCTGAAATACAACAATAGTCAGTCATCAACAATGTAGTACAAATTGGGTTGTTTACTTTCAGGTGAAAGTAAGATTCGAAGGAAAAGAGGAAAGCTAAAGTCGGGATTAAGGCTCCAGTAAATCCCTGGCCTTTTTCCAAAACTGGCCTCACCACATGCCCTGTACTCCCTCCCTCCCCTAGCTAACTAACACCACTGCTGGCTGCTCCTGGGAGGCTCAGCTTGGAGGCACAGCTCTTCTGTAGCTTCACGGAGAGCCTGCAGGAGGCAGGGCTGGAGGCGAGGAAGCCTTCAGCAGCCTGGCAACCCGAGGAAGGGGCCCAGGCTGAGGGTGGGGATCCTGCTCTCACCTTTGATCAACGCCATGATCACAGGGGTCTGCTTTACCTCCTGCCGTGAGGATACCTGCACCTTCTTCTCTGGGTGCTGCCCATAGAACACAGAGTTCCTGGCCCCCTTGGGCCGTTTCATGGCTGGGGCAGAGGGAGGGGCAATAGCAGTTCCTGAGACATGTAAGCGGATGCAGGGAGCTGGGCTTTTGTGGGGCCTGTTCTAGGCGCGCCTGCTCAAGCCCCTGTGTCCACTCTCTCCCCGACTCCAGAGGTGGTGTCGGGGCTGGGAAGGAAGCAGTCCTCGGGCTTGAGCAGCTGAAGCCGTCTGGGGTGCAGCCAGCTGGAGGGCCCAGCAGGCAGGAACTGGAGATGACATCACTGCAGAACTTGGACTGTGAGGTTCAAAGTGTTTATTTCCCTCAGTTGCCGTGGCGCCTGAACAGTGGCGTAGAAATTCTATGCTGGCTGCTCAGTTGTGGAACCCTGAGGACTCGGCCCCACTGCCCCTTACTCCCAACCAAGCTAGGGTCCCCAGGACCCTGGGACAGGGAAGGAAAAGGGAAAGGTAGAGTGACAGAGCTCTTCACTCCTGGTGGGTGCCCTAGGGTTGGGAAAAGGAAGGGAAAGAATGGGTAGGTCATGGGTCAAGGGTTCCTGCAGCCTGCACAGCCCCCTAGGGTGACCCTTTACCTGCTGCCCTGCCCACCTACTCCCCCCAAGGGTCTGGACATACCCTCCCTTCTAATAGAGTCTGTTATTCCTTGGGAATGGATCAAGCTGGTATTTCATGCCAAGGTATAACTGTCTGACAGTTACCCAGACTGACTCCTATCCCAAGGCACAGTATCTTTAGAGACCCATGTCTAGATCCAAGAATACTTGCCTGCTGCTGTGTTTCAGGCAGGGAATGGGGGACAAATCCCGGAGGATGGAGGGGTGGTGCTGAGGCCTGAAGGGGCCACTTCCCATGTCTGTGGCCAAGAGCATGCCCAGGGCGGGGCAGTGTGAAAGGAAACGCTGAGTGGCAGGGAAGGTACCCAGCTCCTATAAGACTGATGGATGAGCCCCAGGGCCGAGGAAATGCTGGAGACCTCTTCGCCCCTCAAACCCCAGGGGTTTGGAGACCCCAGGGCCTTCTCACATCTACCAGTTCATAACTCAGACAAGGCTTGATCAGAACCAGGTGTGATCAGAACCAAGGGGGGTTTCCATCTTGGGAAGATGACAGCTGGCTTTAGAGGGTGTCTGCCATAGCCTCAGTACACAGATAAGAACACTGAGACCCAGAAAGGAGGAGGACTTGCCCAAAGACTCCCATCACATCAGTAGCAGAGACAGAACCAGGACACAAACCCCAGGGTTCTCTTTGGATACTAGCCTCTGATCTAATGGAAACCAAAATGTGACCTGCACTCATTCCAGCCAGCAGGCACAGTGAGGGCTCGGAGCAGACCAGCCAGGCATGCTGGGTGCTCCAGAAGTCGGAGATTGGCCCAGCCTCAGCTGGCCTGGGGCCATGGCCAGTGCTGCCTCCTCACCCCCATCCTTGTCAGTTTTTCCTGGAGGAAGCTTTGGGCCTGCTTGCCCCAGCTCTGATGGTCCCCTCATGTTGATAGGGACCAGATATGGGGCTGGGACCTACGCTTCCTGGTCTGGGGGCAGTTTCCTGGTGTTTCAGACCCAGGGAGCCCTCCTGACACCCCCCCACCCCACCCCACCCCTCGCCACCTGCACTGCCATCCTGTGCACAGCTCTCTGGGGGAAACTGAGCCACTCTACACCCCAGCAGGTCACAAGCCACCCTGTTTCTGCTCCAAATGCTTCCTTCCCATAAACTTTAATGGAGACCTAGTTCACCCCTGAAGATAGCCCTTGGTCCTCTCCAAAGCTGCTGTTCTGTCTCCCACACCCCCATCCCACCAAGCCCAAGGTAGAGCTGGTCCCTGGTGTCCTCGGTACCCATCAGGCAGTGTCCCCTCCCTGTCAGAAGCACCACTCCTCTAGGGTTCCGCATCCAGAGCTCCTCATCTCCTCAGGGCTGCCATCTGGCCTGACTCGTGCACCTGGTGGCCCTGGCTGTGGTCTTCTTCCCCATCCCCCCACCCCCCCAACTCCTGCCATTGTCCTGGTGGCTTAGGCCTCCCCAGGGACCTCCCACCAATCCCCTGGCCTCCCAGTTCCTGGTCCAGCTATCTCCAAACCCCTCCCCTCCACTCCCTCTCAGCCACCCTCCCCAGCACACCCAGGGGCACATGGGGCTTTCTCACTGCCTCCCCGGCACTGACCATCCATTTCCCTCTGGAACACCAGCCTTCGTCCTTCCACGTCGCTCGCTCTAGTACTCTAGCGCAGATTGTCTGCTATCACTGAGACCCAGTCACTGACCCTGCACGTTCTCCCTGTCCTCCAGCCCCGTCCTGCCTTTACTGCCCTCCTGGTCCAGCTTCTTTCCTGGTAAATCACCAGTCTGCCTTGTCCACTGGCACCAGGCAGCTGAAAGCTCATGGCCCCAAACCCTGGACTTGTCTTCGTGCTGCCCAACTGCCCGTCTCCATTCTGGTTGACTTGCTCTCTCCCTCTCCAGAGACCATTCCAAGCACAGGCATTCCCCTCGTCATGCCTGGCCCATCCTCCAGCCCCTGCTCCACCTCCTCCTGGGCTGAGAGAAGAGAAGTAATCAGAATGGACTCTGACTCAAACCCTCCCTGCCTCACCATCAGAACCTCCAGCTCCCTGTCACCTGCCGCCATGTCCTTCCAGGGCTAGGCAGGACGCACCAAGACCTTCTCCCATGTCCTCTGCCTCCTCAAAGACATTTCGCTCTCCATGACCCCTCTCTTTGCTTTAACCTTTCATCTGGCCACTTCTGGCTCACTACATACCCTACATTCTTCCATCTATTATAGACCATCTCCCAGGCCCCTCACACCTTTCTGTCACTGCCTGGACCCCTCTGCCCAGTCCCCAGACAAACTTCCCCAAAGAGGCATTTCCCTGTCTGTTCTCGCCTTCTTTCACTCTCCATAGGCCAACTCCAGGCCCATCCACCTAAACTATGGCCTCCTGTGGAAGCTGCAGCCACCAGACACTCATCCTTACTCACTGGCCTCTTGGCAGCACTGGACCAACATGACGGACTACTCCCTCCTTGTAGCACTTCCTCCTGGCTCTAGGATGTTCTAGTCTTCCTCCCATGTCCCCACTGCCCCTTCACAAGCTTTCTTCCTGGATCTTCTTCCTCAACCTGACTTTCAATGTTGGCACATGCTTATTAAATGCAAAGAGAAAAAAACGTAACTTTACAGGGAGAATCCTGGCAGGCACCAGCTCAACCAAGTGACATGAGTTCAGACCATCCACAGTGGAACAGAGAGGTGCTGTGTACCCCCCGAAAGGGAGCACTGACAAGGACACAGCATCCCTTCTGGGATGTTCCCACCAAAGATACATAATCTGAGTCTAATTATGAAGAAACCAGATAAACTCAAATCAAGATTCACTTTACAAAATCACTGCTCTGTACCTGACAAAAATGGAAATGTCTTGAAAGACAAAGAAACACTGAACAACTTTTCCAGATTAATAGAAACTCAAGATAGGACAACTAAATGCAACCCAGGATTTTCCTTTGCTATCAAGGATATTATTGGGGAAATTGGCAAAACCAGGAAAAAAAAAGTGGCTAGTTAAAAGTATTGTGGGCTGGCCGAGTGGCTCAGTTGGTTAAGAGTTAGCTTAATAGCGTGAGCTCTGAGCAACAGGGCCACCGGTTCAATTCCCACATGGGCCAGTGACGCTGGGCCCAAGCTGAGCTGCCACTGAGCTACTAACAGGTGGCAGAATGGCTCAACTGGTGAGAGCACGTGCTCCTAACAACAAGACTGCCTGTTCGATGGTGGGTTACGCCTGCCTGCAGCTAAGACTGAACTTGGCACCTTGAGCTGAGCTGCCACCCGGATGGCTTAGTGGATAGAGTGCGTGTGCTCTTAACAACAAGTCTGCTGGTTCAACTCCCACATGGGATGGTGGCTATGCCCACCCACAACTAAGATTGTAACACAACACCTTGAGCTTAGAGGCCACGAGCTGCCAACGGGCAGCCAGATGGTGACTGGCACCCTCCACAACTAAGATTGAAGAACAACAACTTGGATGGTCCCCCTCCCCAATTCCCCAACACTCTTCTCCACCCCCAATTCCCCAATTAAAAAAAAAAGTATTGTATAATACCATTGTTAATTTCCTGATTTTGATCACTGCACCCTGGTTATAAAAGAGAAGGTCCTTGTTCTTAGGAAATATACACTGAAGTATTTAAGGCTAAAGGAGCATTATGTCTGCAACTTACCCTCAAATGGTTCAGGAAAAATATATGTACATGGAAAAGAATTTAAAATGTGGTCAAATATTAACATTTGGGAAATCTAGGTGAAGAGTACGTGGGAAATACTTGTAATGGTCTTGCTACTTTTCTGTAAGTCTGAAATTACATCCAAAAAAATGTTGGTGTGTCAGAGTTCAGTCCTGGGCCTTCCTCTCATTTCCCACCCCACTTCCCTCGCCTGGGCAGTCTCATCTCCTCTTGTTGCTTCAGTTCCATTACCTGTACACCAACAATTTCCATGTATATGCCGCCGACCCAGACCTTCTCAGGAGCTTTAGACCCACATATACAACAGCCTGCACAGTGTCGCGTGGGTGTCTCACAAGCACCTCAAAACCAACATGCCCAAAGCTTTTCTCGTGCGATGCCCCCACCTCCTGTTTATCTCAATGAATGATGCCATCATCCATCCAAGTGCCCAAGCTGGAAAATTGAGCTTGTCCTAGACATCTCCCTTGCGCTTACTCTCCAGGGTTTCTGTCATTCACTCTTGTGTCCCCAGGCCCCAGCTCCCAGCATAGTGCCTGACATGTGGTAAGTGCTTGAGAAATACTTGTTGAGTGAATGAGTCAATGAGTGAATCTGTGGGTTGATCAAGGAAACATCACTCCTCCTCAAGGGAGCAGAGTCCTACTTTCTGAGTCCCAGATGTATTCTGAGTCTGGCTCACTGGATCACCATTTGCAGTTATGCCGGTTTGTATCAGTTACCTATTGCTGCGTAACAAATTGTCCTCAAAACCTAAGACTGTTTCT